AATTTACTATAATTAAAAAAAAATTACAAGAGAAAAGCGCATACCCTATTTTTTTTAACATCTTTTTTATGATAATATGAAAGCCTAATAACGCAAAATGACAATAATTAGGTTTTAAAACTTATCATACAATTGCATTTTTTATCCTTGGGTGTTATCAAGTGAGTAACTTATTATCAATAATTTAACCCTGAGGGGTTGCTCAATTGGTCAGACATTGAGTTTGCTCTCCAATGATCACAAGTTCGAGTCCTCTCAGAGCTACTGAGGTAAGTACCCTGCCGTAAACTTCAGGGTCTCGTGGAATTAGTCGAGGTGCGCGCAATCTGGCCCGAACATCCACGGTTATCAAAAAAAAAAAAAACTTATTATCAATAATTGTTAAGAACTCTACTCTTTCACAAAAATGAAGATTTTTGTACTAGTTTGAGAGAGAAAAAATTAGTTACCAAAAAATTGCTGTTAGGAAATTAAAAAATAATTTTTTTCAATGCTTTTTTCTCAATTAGGTTAGGGGAAAGCCCCTCATTCTAATTTTTTAAAGGAACTTTATAGAGTTGATAAAATAAAATAAAAAAGTACAAAAATGAGTGATTAAAGCTTAAAGATCATAAAAAATTAATTCCTAAAACTTCTATTACAAAAATTATCAATACATTTTAAAATATCATTTTCTTTTCTTAGAAAAAAGATCGATAGTGCAAAATTTTTTAACATAATTTATTGGTACGAAAATTTATATCTTGTGATGATTTTGAAATATATGTGATCCAAGTCAAGGGCCAGTCAATTACGAGCCCATGATCCAGTTACTGCACTAGGCCCAAATATCAAAATGGATTATAACCCGACCATCAAGAGCCCAAATATCAAAATGGATTATGTTAGGAAGAGTTCAAAAGTCAGGGATTAACTATATACAATTCAAAAATCGGCTTTTAGTTAATTAATTAAATATATTCATTAATTAAATATAATAAAATCACAATTATATAATTAATGGTCACATATACATAATTATAGGTCACGTGTCACATATTTTAAAATTAATTGATCACATATTATTTTGAGGTCACAGATCCAAAATTTTATACGTCATAAATTATTTCGAGATCACAGATTTTTAAATTAGTGGATTACTGATTATTTTTGAGTCACATATTATTAAATTTTTAGGTCACAGTTGAGTAATTGGTCACAAATTACCAAACATTTGATCACAGATTACCAAACATTTGGTCACAAACTACCGTCACTACCACTATGGCCACTTTCGACCACCCTCACCACGCCGCCACATCCACAACAGCACCAACAAAGCCACTGACAACCACTTCTACCACCAATCACTTGCATATTATCTATTTTATAGGTCACAAATACCAAACATTTCCAACAGAAACACACCCACACCCCCACACCTCCACCTCCGCCTCCGCCACAACTACCTCCACTCCGCTATTTTGCAACCAACCAATAACAACTTGCACCACTACACCACTACTATCGCCCTACCAACACCACTACCAATTTTTTTTTTTTTCCAATCAAACAGCAGCTGTCTGAGTTTTGAATAAATAAACTTTACACCTTATTTTTGAAAACCAACTTTTTAAACACTTGATTTGTGTCATTTTCCCTATTATGTTCTTGTTTAGTGAGAATTAAAATCAAGATTTTAATTTAAATCAAAGTTAACAATTAATTTTAATTTTGTATTTTATGGATTCACAACTTTTAACTACATATTTTATCAATTTTTATCAAAATATACTAAAAGTCTTATTTTAATTCCCGAATTATGCTCAATCTATGTACAATATACTCAATTTAATTTAAGAAAATTTAAATTTTAATTAATCTAAATATCTTCTAAAATACATACAATCTTATCAAGCCCCTGTCTAGTTTACATGAATTTAGGTTTTAAATAAATTTTAATAAAAATTGATGAAATATATGGTTGAAAAATTATGAATCCCATGAAATTTGTGATTAAAATTCATTATTAACTTTTACTTAAATTTTAATCAACTTTTTAAGCTAAACCAAATAGAATTTTAGGCAATTTCTTGATCAAGCATCCTGTTGAATAGCAAAAAATTGGTAACTCAACTAAAAGTCAAGTTTCTAGTCAAGGGTCAAGTTTCTTAACTCAAAAGATTCCCATGTTTAATAGCCTATATTTTTCGTTGAGAATGGAAAAAAAATTTAATTTCCATGTTAAACACTTGTTTGATTGGCAAAATTTGGCATGGAAACACCCACGCGCTCCTTTTCTCTCTTTTCAAGGAACTCATTTTCCCAACTTTTTGATGGAAAAATGAATTCCAACCTCTGGCTTTTTTTTTGAATGAAAATAAGTTTCATAACCAATTGTAAAAAAATATTTCATTTTAATAGACAATTTCCATATAAAACGAAGTCAAACGAACACTAAATTTTAATAAAAAATAGTTTTCGAGCAAATTTTATTTATTTTTATTTTATTTATTTTTACTTTTTGGCAATGATAACGAATTTCATAACCAATTGTAAAAAAAAAAATTCACTTTAATGAATAATTTCCATGTAAAATAAAGTCAAACATGAACAAAAAGATCCAAAATTTCAAAAAAAATTCAGGTGGAAAATTATATCAATCAAACACATTTAATTAACAATTCCCTGCAAAATAAGTTCTATGCAATTACTTTCTTTGAAATTCATTTTCTTTCCACATATTTTTCACTCTTACAATCAAACTGACCCTTAGTGTTATTGGGTCCAATACACCGAAAATTATAAAAATTTCAATTATATTTTGAAATATAAGACATAACTGGCTGTGGTTAGTACAATTAAAATATTAAGAACCTTTTATGACAAATACGTGCGTAAGCATTTTTGTGCGAAAAATATTAATCTAAATGAAAGAAATAATTGAAACAAGACACACTTATGTCAACGTGGGGTCCAAAATACCTAATCAGTAATCACACAAGGACTCGCATGTATGTCTTTTTTGTGTCAAGTAAGATTTTTTTCATTTTATTTATGTCTAAACACCATAAAGGAGGCTTGGTATTTAGCGATGTTTTGACAAGTTATTAATTGATCACATATTATTTTGAGGTCACAAATCCAAAATTTTATACGTCATAGATTATTTCGAGATCACAGATTTTTAAATTAGAGGATTACTGATTATTTTTGAGTCACATATTATTAAATTTTTAGGTCACAGTTGAGTAATTGGTCACAAATTACCAAACATTTAGTCACAGATTACCAAACATTTGATCACAAACTACCGCCACTACCACTAGGCCACTTTCGACCACCCTCACCACGTCGCCACATCCACAAAAGCACCAACAAAGCCCCTGACAACCACTTCCACCACCAATCACTTGCATATTATCTATTTTATAGGTCACAAATACCAAACATCTCCAACAGAAACGCACCCACACCCCCACACCTCTACCTCCGCCACAACTACCTCCACTCCGCCATTTTGCAACCAACCAATAACAACTTGCACCACTACTATCGCCCTACCAACACCACTACCAATTTTTTTTTCCAATCAAACAGCAGCTGCCTGAGTTTTGAATAAATAAACTTTACACCTTATTTTTGAAAACCAACTTTTTAAACACTTGATTTGTGTCATTTTCCCTATTATGTTCTTGTTTATTGAGAATTAAAATCAAGATTTTAATTTAAATCAAAGTTAACAATTAATTTTAATTTTGTATTTTATGGATTCACAACTTTTAACTACATATTTTATCAATTTTTATCAAAATATACTAAAAGTCTTATTTTAATTCCCGAATTATGCTCAATCTATGTACAATATACTCAATTTAATTTAAGAAAATTTAAATTTTAATTAATCTAAATATCTTCTAAAATACATACAATCTTATCAAGCCCCTGTCTAGTTTACATGAATTTAGGTTTTAAATAAATTTTAATAAAAATTGATGAAATATATGGTTGAAAAATTATGAATCCCATGAAATTTGTGATTAAAATTCATTATTAACTTTTACTTAAATTTTAATCAACTTTTTAAGCTAAACCAAATAGAATTTTAGGCAATTTCTTGATCAAGCATCCTGTTGAATAGCAAAAAATTGGTAACTCAACTAAAAGTCAAGTTTCTAGTCAAGGGTCAAGTTTCTTAACTCAAAAGATTCCCATGTTTAATAGCCTATATTTTTCATTGAAAATGGAAAAAAATTTTAATTTCCATGTTAAACACTTGTTTGATTGGCAAAATTTGGCATGGAAACACCCACGCGCTCCTTTTCTCTCTTTTCAAAGAACTCATTTTCCCAACTTTTTGATGGAAAAATGAATTCCAACCTCTGGCTTTTTTTTGAATGAAAATAAATTTCATAACCAATTGTAAAAATAAAAAAAAATCACTTTAATGAACAATTTTCATATAAAACGAAATCAAACGTATACTAAACTTTAATGAAAAAATGGTGAAAAAATAGTTTTCGAGCAAACTTTATATATATATATATATATATATATAAAGTTTTCTACCCATTTTTCATTCTTGCAATCAAGCGGACCCTTAGCCTTTGTTCGGGCGATTAAAATCAGATTTTTAGTAGATTTTGATGAAAGTTAATAAACTATGTGATTGAAAAATTATGAATCATATAAAATATGTGGTTAAAATATTTAATTTCAAGGCTATATTTAGCCCGATGACCATTATTTTGAGAAAAATGAAGTTTTGAATGGTGAATAGCTAGGGAACGTGTAGTTAAAATTAGAAAAAAAAATTGAATTTACGTATAAAATATTTTATTATATAAATGTGGGGTTGACAATGATTACTAGAGTTAAAAGTTTTGAAATAATTGTTTTACTCAATGGAAAAATACTACGCAAGAATCAACTTGGAAAGAAGCCAATTGAAAACCAGAAATGGTACACATTTTAAACAAAGCATCATGTACATTGTACAGAACAAGTCCTCCAAAGTAATCTCATGTTCTACTTTTAAGAAAACTACAATAAATCACAAAAGTTAACAAGCTTATTGCACTCGACAAAGCCAAGAACCAGTAATATTTATCGAGTCGAGCTTCGTTCATGTCATCGGAGAACCAGCCATTTTGCGACCCACTCGAACTCGTGACATAGTCAATGAGAGATATGAGAATGGCACTTAAGAAACTTCCCACCCCAAAGACACTTGTGTATAGAGCAATGCCAGTAGTCCTCATTCTTACAGGGACTTCAGAATAAAAAAACTCTTGCATACCAACAACTGTGAATATATCCGAAATGCCTAAGAGAATGTACTGAGGAAGCAACCAAAAGATACTAAATGGGACTGATTCAGATTTTGATTCGAATAATACCATTTCTTTACTGATTTCAAGCCTCTTTCTTTCGGTAAGAGCTGCAATAACCATGGCTATGACCGAGAGGAACATCCCGATCCCTATCCTCTGCATAACGGTGATTCCCTTTTCGTTTTTTGTCAAAACGCGTACCAGAGGGATGAAACATGTGTCGTACAATGGCATCAGAATAATTATCGACACGGTTATTGCACTTTGGAGTGCGGCCGGCGGGATTTTGAATTTCGAGCCAATGTTTCTCCTCATTGCCATTCCTTGTTTGGTAAAAAATGTTGCGGGTTGTTGAAAAATTACTGCAAACATAAGAAGCATAACCCAAACTGGCAGGAGATGGAGTACCATTTTTGCAGCTCGAACGGGATGAATACTTTCGTCCGAATCCCCTCCAAAGCCTTCAACGGCATCGGGATCTCGACTATGGAGTGCTTTTTCCTGAAGTCTTTAAATGTAATATACTTGTTAGTATACTAATTCGGCTGAAGAAAAAAGGGAATCGTTATAATAGGAAAACACTTACTCTAGCTCGACTACATTGTAATCCCTAATTGGTTTATTCCGTCGATTGATCATCTTCGATATAGTGGCTTTAACCGCGTGAACTATTTCTTCAAATGACTTGCCGTCGATATTCCTCTCTTGCTTACGTGTATAAAACCGGTTTCCACACAAAAACATGGCGATTGATGCTACCATTGCAATCGCGGGAATGGCAAATCCAAGTCCCCATCCTAAAGTGTCCTGTATATATGACATGATCGAGACACCTAGGAGGCTTCCACAACAAACACCAAAGTACCACCACTGGAAAAACAAACTTTTCTTATTGGAACTCGGGTCATTATTGTTTGTACAAGGTAATCCGTCATCATCTCCTAGTTGTTCTGCTCCGAAGGCTTGTAACGACGGATTATAGCCCCCTTGGCCGAGCGATATCATGTATAGACACCAAGACAGGGACGAAAAGGAACTGATTTTATTCATTGGATTCCAAGACCAGCGTATCGCCGTTGATGTCAATGCTGAAAGCCCCTAATAATACAACGTACAAATGTTATCTACATGTTGCAGATGAAGATCCTACGAACTATAAATTAAGGATTTTGCTATTTTGACAGGAAAATTGTAACAGATGCAGTGGCATAATCTTAGTTGACAACAGATGATTTGATGGGGATGTTGACAGTGTTTAAAACAGTTCAATAATAGAATGTTATGTAGTGTTATGTAAATTATTATTTTATTGTAGAATGATTGGTAAATTAAATATGAGGAGAATCTTTATTAAAATGATCAAATTCTAATCCAATTAATTGTCACATCACAAAAGGTGAACATTCATCTAAAGGGAACACTTGGTATTCGGACAAGGACAAGTGGGTTGTGATTTTGATTCCATGATTTTGATACAAATGATTCCCGGATAGATTTCCACCAGGACTTCATCACTGTCCAAATAAATAAATTTTCCCATCTCTAACTACCTAAAAAGCATATGCTCATCATCCTGAGCATGTCAGAACATCATCGTACTAAGCCGGTTTTCGTTCAACTAAAAAAAAATTAAAATCTAAGTAAAAATCAATAATTAATTTTAATTATAAACCCACAACTAGTCACATGTTCCATCGTTTTTTACTAAAATCCACTTAAAATTGATTTTATCTAAATCAAATGGGTGCTAATCAACTCGACTCACCACGACATAGAGAACTGCAGAGGCTAAAATTGTAGAATACTTGTCAAGATAAGAGTCTGCCAGTGTGGCCACTATCAACGGCAACATCGAAGTAAAACCTACCCAACTATTAACAGTCTTGGCCGCCGAGGAATTGCTCATCTTCATAACATCAGTTAAATAAGTTACCAAATTTGAAGCCACCCCTTTGAATGCAAACCTCTCCATCCCAGAAATCACTGTATGTTCAAGAACATAAACATGGAAAATAAGTAGCTTATGAGCACTTATTATTACAAAAAAAAAAAAAGGAGTGTAGAAGATATTGATACCCATGAGGAGAATACATGGCTTGTTGATTCCCATAAGTCTTTGTGTTTCAGCCACCAGAGAGAGATAAACAAATGCAATAATCAAAGAGAACTGTACATTGAAGAAGATAAAGAATTGGGATTATACAAAAATGGAAAAAGATAGTTACAGAAAATCTGTGAAAACTGAAGTATGGGCTTATTTTTTAGTAGCTTTTGTATAACAGTCATCCCATTTCCAACAAATTTTCTTGCTTTTTGAGGCTTAATGGGACAATGGACATTCACTCAAATTCCCTTTCAGAAATTAATATTTCAAAGGATAAAAAAAGCAATTTCCCACTTTCAGTTTGGCTTTGTGGGCACTGCGGTGTAATCTAGATTATATATGTCTTCATGCATCAGAAAAAGAAAATTGAATATAATGATATTTCTGTTCCTTGACACATAAAGTGAACACTGCATGTAATGACGGGCGTTTACACAGGAAATCTCGAAAATAATTAAAGAAATTATCGGCTAGTCCCTAAACATTACAACTTCTTGTACTTGGGTCCCTATCCATTTTTTGGTCTCATTTAAGTTCCCGTTCTTTTTTGGCGCACATAGGCAAATCGACAAAATTTGTTCAACTTTATGTTTAATAGTCACTTGAAAATCTAGTTGCCTTTTTTATTGTAGTGTGACTTTTGATACATCACATAAAATCGAAGGGCTAATTAATTAAAATAGAATAAAACCAAACATTATTCTTAATTTGAAAATGTTCCATAAATTGGTGAGTAGTTTTTGGGTAAAGTAATCAAGAAATATACGGGCTAAACACGTTTAGACCCAGAGAAAAAAAGATTTTGAATTTAATGATAACTTACATGAAATCATGTTCAAAGCACTAAATTTTAACGCCATCTTATCATGTGTAGCTCACTAGCAAGTTCACATGTAAAGTAATGTTCAAATGTTTTACATGTGAACATATTTAATTTTGTAAATCGTACGTTTCTATGCATGTTAAATACCTTGAGGTCACTCGTCTGTCTTTCATATTTTACTTTTTTTTTTGTTATATATCAATACGGTCTGAAATTTAAAAAAGAGAAAAGAAAAGAAAGGAAAGATAGACTGGTTAAAGATAAAATTGCATCACAATTCTTTACCTACATGTTACTAAATTTTCAAATTTGTACTGAATGATTATTTGTGTAAAAATTATGGGAAATGGGAATGATGTGGATGAAAAGCTAATGTGTTACCAAAAAAGAGGGGAAAAGGCAGCTTTTGGGAAAGAAAGCCTATAAGAGTTGATTAACATTAAAAAAAAAAAAGCAAAATAATATCTCCAAACTCCTTGCACATTGCTTATTGGGGTCCATGCACCCAATGTCGGATCAATTTATGTTGTCATAATACTAACACAATGACATTAAGATGCCAAGATATACAAATAAAATAAAATCGTCTTCAAGTAAATTCTTTGATTAATTTTTTTCTCGATGATGATGATGACAATGAAAAAGACGTACTCATCCAAATTACATATATAGTGAATACACCAAAATAACACTAAGACGCCTAAAACAATATTTTTGATTTACTTGAACGGAAGAACTCGTGATCATCAATCTCGATTCTTTCTTAATTTCCTCTTGCAATGCTCTAAAAGCATCAAAGACACTCGATCAAAGACTAAATAATGGTCGACATCGTGACGTATACAAATTCCACATATTTGCAAATTATATATAATGAGTGGTTTTTTAAGTATACCCCGTTTGTTCGTGCATACACGGAATTGGTTTTTGGTTTACCACGTCACGCTTTAGGTAAAACAGACGTTTTTGTTCTAATCTATTGGTGGTTTACTGACATGGAAATCACTTTGCTTTTGACCACTACATCCATTATTGAAAAAATGATCTAAGTAATATAATTAAAAACTACATGCTAATCGCCAATAAATGAAGCACACACTAGTCGGATATTTCACCATTAATCTTTTGCATGGATATCTTTGGCAAAGTTTTTGCTTATTATAGAACAACTTTCTCTAATTTGTAATCTTTTGCTTATGGCCCGTTTGGCAGAGTTTATGATTTTGCTTCTGTTTTTCTACTACAAGAGCTTTCTCTAATTAAATATTATTCCAATAATCTTTGCTTGGAACACAATGGCAGGGTTTATGTTTTTGCTTTTGCTTCTATTAAAAGAGTTTTTAAAGAAAATTATTTTAGGTTATGACACAGTGTGAAACACTGATTTCAAGCAAATATCTTAAGAACAACAAAACTGGAATCCACTAGAGAATTTTGTGGTCCACCAAAGAATTTCGGTCTCGTTCTCTTTCTGAAAAGGTATTATGGATCCAAATCGAAACTCGAACGCCAAATTTTTAATTGACTATTTTTCCTTTTCGGTCCAATTATTATCAATGCGTTCAGCCATTTGTTCAACTTCATGTTAGTTCCTTTAAAAGCTCTTCTACTCAAAGAAAGAACTTAAAATGAATTATCCAAACATATTCAAAACAATTTCTTAGCTCAAAAACAGCTTTTAAATTTTTAAAAGTCCTGTCAAACAAATCCCTGATGTATTAATCTCTTTTAATCTTAAACTTTAGTACAAAGACCTTTAACATTATCCTAATATAATAAAAATGACAGTTTTGGGTTACTGTAGATGCAACAGTAACCCAATGAGATGTTACTGTTTATTTCACAAATTTTCACACCTCCAATCCTCAAGTTGTATGCCACATCATTTTTTCCCCAATCTGCTATAAAAACGATCTGGGACTTTGAATAGTTAGGTATTTATTCTTGCATTATTTTTTATTCTCGCTCATATATTTAGAATCACTACAATATAACAAAAAAAAAAAAAGATGGGTCACATGTGAGATCAGAGATTATCGTAGAGGACAACATTTCCAACTATTATTTAATTCAAGAGCAGGCAAAAGCTAGCATGATGGATTGAAATATCTTAATTGTTAGCACTCTTATAAAAAAATCTCTGGTGCGCTGAGAGTGTCTTCGCGCACCGCGGAGACATATGTCTCCATGCAGTGCATTTTCGAACCAATACAAATCTCAATTGCCCTAAGATCATGAACTCAGCTTTCCAACAATGAGCATTTTCAAACCAACACAAATCTCACTTGCCCTAAGATTTTCTAAATATATAATTAAATCAAGCATGTCTTCTGAATAAATTCAGCAACTAATCGGTCACAAACCATCCTAACATAGAATAGTTAAAAAAGGTTATTCGCTCTGTCATGTGATATCATGTTTCATACACATTAATAGTGATATATAAGTTCCATAAAAACATTAAACTTTTGCCAAATATTTAAGATGAAGTAGATAATATGGGGAGAAAATAAATGAACATACTATCCCACAAATATTTAATGGATAACCATATTTGCGCAAAAATTTGCTGGAAATATTTATTACACTCATTTGATTCGTATTAAAGAACACAGTTAAAGAGACTCCTATAATACAATTACAAACAGAAAGGTAACATATGATATCAGTTATCCTTCGTGCTCTCATGTCAAATGTCCACCTTTGGAACAGCCTTATGAAACAGAAAGGTAACATATGATATCAGTTATCATTCGTGCTCTCATGTCAAATGTCCACCTTTGGAACAGCCTTATGAGCATATATATAATTAAGATTATTAGAGTTTGTAAAATTTTTCATATTTCTTGCGACACATGTAATTCACTTCTTTAATGTTTATATTTTTGGTGTTTGATTCACTCTTTGTGTTATGGGTGGAAGCCTTAACATCTCGCTTGAAGTCTCAAATGATTTATTCACATGATAACTATGGCGAGTCTCTAATGACTTCATCGCTTTATTAAAAACATGTTTAGCTAACGTTTAAAAAAGGTTTTTTTGCTAAATAAGCTTAGATATACTATTTTTTTTCTAGGCCATCGTTCAAAAAGTTACTAATTTAATTATAGCTAAGTTTTTTAAGTTTAGCAAAAGAAATTGTCAACAACTTTTTATTTACGATAGTTTCCAAAACTGTTTATTGTATTTATGTTTTACATGTTTGCTGTTTAAATTCTAATTTAGTTATAAGTTGAAATTCTTACTTGGGTAATTGGCGCAAAACATCCCTACCTATGACGAATTTTGTGGAAAACGTCCCTACGTATGATTCTTTGGTGCAGAACGTCCCTACATTTACATTTTCTTTCGCAAAATGTCATTCCATCCAATTTCCGTTAGAATGCACCGTTAAATCCGAAAAAAAAANGAATGCACCGTTAAATCCAAAAAAAAAAAAGGATTTTTATTTTCCAAACAGAAGGGTAAAACCGTCCAACACCCCTAACTTCCATCCCTTCACTTCATTTCGCAAAACCAGAACCTCATATTCTTACTTGGGTAATTGGCGCAAAACGTCCTACCTATGACGGATTTTGTGGAAAACATCCCTACGTATGATTTTTTGGTGCAGAACGTCCCTACATTTACATTTTCTTGCGCAAAACGTCATTCCTTCCAATTTCCGTTAGAATGCACCGTTAAATCCCAAAAAAAAAAATGATTTTTATTTTCCAAACAGAAAGGTAAAACCGTCCAACACCCCTAACTTCCATCCCTTCACTTCATTTCGCAAAACCAGAACCCTCATATTCTTACTTGGGTAATTGGCGCAAAACGTCCCTACCTATGACGAATTTTGTGGAAAACGTCTCTACGTATGATTTTTTGGTGCAGAACGTCCCTACATTTACATTTTCTTTCGCAAAATGTCATTCCATCCAATTTCCGTTAGAATGCACCGTTAAATCCGAAAAAAAAAAAAGGATTTTTATTTTCCAAACAGAAGGGTAAAACCGTTCAATACCCCTAACTTCCATCCCTTCACTTTATTTCGCAAAACCAGAACCCTCATAAACCTACGAATAAGCAAGTAAAATTTGTCTAACCTCAAGCGATCAATCCCAGGCCACTCCCACCGAAGAGTCAAAACAAATTTACTAAAATACTGCAACGAAACCGGGGATTCAAGTATCAAAAAAAG